TATATAACGAATAAAAATTAACAATACGATGTCATAATATTTTTCACTTTCTCTCTTTCTATAATATATACATATATATCTTGAATTAGGCTTTATAAAAATCACTCTCTTCGGGATGTAGTTATCAAAGAAGCGTCTTCTTAAGAGTCGCGTCACTCTTGTTAATGTTACATAATATGTGAACGATCTAAAGCCGGTCGGGTATGTCAGTTCACCAACAAACGATCGGACAGCCCGGGGCAAGGCCGTAGACATGTCTCGCCACGGGCTAGAATCTCTTGAATGAACTATTACATGTTTGCAGATTTTATTCGCCGCAGAAAGGTACTATCCCTATATACTATCTTCTTCCTTACGAGAACTAATTAATCTCTTCCGTCAATTTATATATCTACACTGAAAAAAAAAAAATTGTTAAATTGACCAAACCCGTTCAACTAATTACAATTTTTTAAATTGAAATATTTATATATTTAAGTCAAATATACGTCATGTTAGATTTAATATGTTGTATTTGACTTAAATATATAAATATTTCAATTAAAAAAATTGAAATTAGTTAAACGAATTTAGTCAAGTTAACAATTTTTTTGTTTTTAGTGTGGAATTTATGATTAATATGCATAAAGATGTACTAAAAAAGAGCATCATAGTACAAATATGAATAATTGATGATACCGAATTTTAAATGATTTTTTATAACAGAAAAAAATCAATTTACACACAAATATATATAGTTTCTTCTTCTAAATAACTATATTTAAAATTTCTGTTTTTAAATAAGCTTTATCAACGTCATTTATAGTAATTAATTAAAATTACCTAGCTATTATTTCTTTTAAGAATTAATTTAAGAAAACCCGAAATTTGGAATAATTATGACATAGAAACATTGTTATTCTGACAACGATGAGATCGCGACAACACATCGTTAACATTTTAATTCACTAATTAACGTGAATCAGAGCAATTCGTTTTCTTTCTCAATTTTAATTGTAATGATATTTATCAAGTAGATGCTGTAAACGAACCGACAGCTAGACGTAGAAAAGCATGTTTTACTTTATGATCGAACGTAAGATTCAGTAAATGAGAACGTAGAAAGTCGAATTGGAATATTTAGAAACCTATATTTTTGCTTTTATATCTTGAAGCGATGTAAATAAAATTCTCTTTCGCTTTCCTTTCTCTAATTTCAAACGTAATACTACGGACGCGGACAATGAAAGTAAAATGGAATCTGAATTTGATATGGGAATACTAAATTCGCTTTCGCTTCAAGCAGAAAGTCCAATACGAAATTCGTAGTCGCAAAAATATATCAGAATGAAATATCATACCGTGGAAATGTAATCCATAGGATATCAAAAGAAATCCAGACACATGACACATAATTAATAAAATCATGCATGATATGATCAATCTGAGAGAAAAACCATCAAGCAATGTAAGAGTCGACAAACTTTTGAATGCTCTACTTTTTCATTAAAGATCTGCACGTTCACGATTAGAAAAATTTTAATATATCCTCTATCGAATTTATCACAAATCTCACTAATTCAGAACAAAACACTCTCGATTTTGTATCACCTGCGGAAGAAATAAAGAAACTTCTGATCCGAAAAGATAATCTCTCGGTCTTTTCTCGATTTCCATTTCCGATTTTCGTTCGCATGAAGTACTATAGGCGCGCGGGTGAAGTATCACAGACACATTGTACTTACGATTCTCATCTCTCTTTCTTTCTTGGTCTTCCCGAAACTACCGCGAAACGGAACGAGCACGTTCTCCGCGTTCCCCGTGAACCGTACACAAGTCGGCTGCCGACTGCAGTTGCACTCTCGTTAAGCGGCGAGAGCCTAGAAGCAGCGCACGGTGGTGTACCACCTGTATCTCGCGGGGGTACGTTCCCGGTATGATGGTCGCGGATGGTAGGGGGCTCCGGAAGAAACGCCTACTACTATTCGCGAGTCTAGAGCAGAATAAAGATTCCCCAAAGTAACGGTGTAAATCCTAGATAATCGGATCGGATCAGAGGCACACAAGTGCTGTCCGTCTCTGCTGGCGTAGAGGACCGTTTGATTCCACGTGGGGACCGCTCCTGGGACTTATATGTCGCCGTTGGAGGCCATCCGCGGCCGGCTCCCTGTTCCCCTCTTCTTGCGCCCTCGCCCGAATCATTACCCTTCCGAGGGGCGCGAGTGATGGTCAAGGTGACCTTCGTCTCGCGGGGATACCGCGGATAGGAAGCGGCGAGACAGCAGAAAGATTCGATATTTTATTTTTGACGCATGAATCACGACGAGGAAGAAGCAAAGATGCCTTTGAAAGTGGCATGAAAATATTCTTCTATATGAATTCGTGAAATGTACATTGAAATCAAATAGCCGAGTAAAAGATTTCTCATGTAACGCAATTTAGCGAAATAACATTGACGAATGACGCAATAGGAATAAGAAAGGACAATTTTGTTATAAATATTAGATTGCATATATGAAAGAATCAGCCGTGATTTCGTCTGCAGAAAGAACGAGAAATGAAGTAACAATGCAAATTGTGATTAATGTCGGCTGAATCACGATTCTTCTCTTTTTTGCGACAAATAAGCTCTTTCTTGCCGCTCCGATTATAAAGAGGACAAATTAGCTGGCGTAATCCTCTATGGCAAGATAATGCATGCCGCTACTTAATGTATGTTCTAAACATTACGTCTCAATGCCTATCGCATCATGCTCCGGATCGGAATCCGGATCTGTATTCCGTGAGTGCAATATTATGACGTCAGCTGCTGTTACAGAACAATGCTTGGCATGCAAATCTTATCTCGAATATTTAAACGCTCTCTCCACGCCCAAAATTTTTAAAGCGATAGATTAAAGACGTATCAAAATTTTAAAATTGTTTAAAAATATGATGTTCTTTTAATGCGCTATTAATTCTAATCATTGAACCATATTTGACGATACAATGATAAAAGTCTCTGAAATTCTGAATATAATTCTATAAAATTTTATGAGAAATAGAAATCTTTTTAATCATCAGGTAAACTAATTAAATTATTTGCCGGATTCATATAACAACTACGATGTAACAGTCGCACATGTATGATTAGCATTTATAGCATTTAAGCATTTGCCGATTTTATAATGATTATCGTTATATTGCATTTAATTATCCGATTGCATATAATTGACTGATTATGGAGACACGGTAATATACTATTCTCAGGATACGCCGTGACTTCCGACGCAGGAAAAATTCCCGTCACACATATGTATGTCATTCGTGCGTACAATAATTACGATAATAGGGTAATCGACTAGTACATCCGCGAATCATTATATTAGAAAGGAAAAACTTATCTAATCCTTATCCTTTACATAATCCGACATAATTGATTACCTTGGAAAAAAATATCTTTGACACACTCCCCATATAACAATATTTTAATATCATAAAGATAGTGTATAAAAAATATATAATACACTATATTATTTTGTTATCTTTTTAAAGTTAGAAAAAAATATTCTATATAGATTTCATTTAAATCTTCTTTTCGATGATGCGCTTAATTTTCACATAAAATCGAAAGATTCTTATATTGCATCTGTCGAAATCATTCAAAATCGTGAACAAATTAGCGAGAGAGAACATGATCTCTATAACATGATAGTATATTATAATAACGGTTTTGAACAAAACTATGTATACCATACGCGAGATACTTTATGATTAGCTTTGTTAGGGCTATCAACGTCAATAGCCCGCTATTTAATTACCACTTTGTTATAAACCGCTAATTGTATCTGACCCATTTATCATTGTTGCAAGTTGCGATCGTTTCATGCAATTCTTGCAATCTTGCTCGCGTCGAGAAAGTGCTTGTAGCGCAGCATCAACGTAGTTCTCGTCACGCGCGTGACCGCGGTTTCTTGACCTTCATTAAAAATGGAATTCCCAACCTTAACCCGCTAATTAGCGTGCTTTTAACCGCAACATCGTGCAAGGAAAGACGAACCAGAAATGCTTTCCGATATCGGGCTTCTAGTCACGAGTCGGAACGTTAGACCTTGCACGATTGACTGTGACCCTCAGTTGCCTAAATTCGGTTTAATTAACGAGGCCACTCGCCCGAGATATTTCACTTTCTAACATATCAATACGCGTTTCTTCCTTCTCTTTCTCTCGTAATTTTCTCTCTTCCTCTCAAAATGCAGTAAATATCTCTGATATTGTAAGAGAAAAATGGTAATGTAAACCGTCAAAATGCCCATATAAATAGACATTAATTTTTTTACTACAGCAAATACAATTTTGCAATGCTAAGATATCGATATTTTGATTCGCGAGTTGGCTTTATTGTTATATTGATTATAATACACATTATTTTTATATGTTTTTAATAGAATTGACCTTAAATATATTTTCGAATCCGTTTCGATTTCATTCTGCTTCCTGACCAAGCGAATTAAGACGGACCGAAGGGAAAATCTCGATCAATCGATCGAGGACGTGCTAATTACCGTGAACGAGGCATTGTCGTAAAATTGTATAATCAATTACGGGAACACTGTAACGATACTTATAAAAGTATAACAAGGCTATTGAACAGAATATAGTTGCGAGAGATGATTAAAAAAAAAAGTGAACTGTAACATTTATGCAAAATGTAATGAGCAATAATTTTTTTACTGCCAATCTACTTGTTAATCCACGCGAATGCATGAATAACCTGACGCATCTAATATAACATGAACGAATGCAGAAATCTAGTTATCATCCACACGATCTTACTTGTTGATCATACTCAATTCCATTTTATGACAGAAGTAGGAACGCGGAAGTAGTAACGTCATCGATAATTTAACATGATTGCAAAAAAGATTAATTATTGATATATTATAATTACCATAAGAATTATTTCTTACATTACAACGCAGTATTTTGCATATATTTGCATTTGTCGTAGCCTTACAATTTTTTGCATAAATTACTTCAATAATAAAAACATCAATTAAAATTCTGCTAAATCTAACTAAAAAATAAAATATTGTTACATAGTTATACTGTTATTAAAACATCAATTAGATTATAAAGATAAACATAAGTATATAAATGCACTATTATTTCTTAACTTGATAAAGAGAAAATTTTCTCGTTTTCTTATTGTTATATAAGTCCACTAATTACACCGTATAATACTTAATCATTAATTTTTAAACCAAGGGTATATCTATGACTATTTTATATATTTATCAAAAGAATATATCCTTGCTATCAAGACTCATTTTCCAATCGCCATGGATAGCAAACATAAGGCTTTGTCCTCTGTTCGATACTTCTTACTGCTGTTTTGCTACGTCACGCGTTACACTAATTAACTCTCACATAGTTATGCGCATAATAATAAACATCACCGTTGCATAATAAACTCGGAAATAGGCAACTATTCGATAATCGAGGTTATTCGAAATGCTTCAAGGTGATAGATGAGCGCGTCGTTCACGAGAAATGTCCCTAAGGATCTCCAGTTCGAGAGGGATCGCTCAGGGAGCGAGTCTAACGAGCCTGTTTATCGAAGGTAACGGCGCGACCTCATGAAAAGTGCATTCGTACCGCTAATTATCTACCTTCGGCGCGCACAGCACCGTCTTACAAGTAACGAACTGGCAATTTACTAAACGCGTCACGCGTGTTGAACGTCCATGAGCTAATTTCGTTTTTAACGGAAATTCGAAGAGTATCTACTTCCGGCGGTGCAAAGACGTAAAAAAATTATTCATCGTTTTCGCCCAATTTCTAAAAGTAAAGCAATATGGCGAGAACGATAATCATCCTTGATGTGCGCGTAGAATGTAAGGTCATTTATAAAAGTTCGCTTGCCAAACCCCCAATGTCATATTGGATGTATTGAAACAGCGAATAATTGTAAAAAATTAGTTTAAAATGATTAAAATCACTTAGGGCGATTGTTTCCAACCAGATAATTTCTCATATGCAATGAATTATATGTGGGAAATAATTTTATATATGATAAAAATATAATACGATATAATACAATAAAAAAATCGTAATTATTATTATTTTATTTTAAGGTATAATAAATATCTGTCTTATATATATATAACATCTTAATGTATTATATTCTATGAGATGTTAAATTTCGCTCGCTACGTTATGATTGATTACGAAGCAAAGTCATGTTTTATAACAAGATCAGATAGTGCGCATCGAGTTTTCCTAGATTTCTTCTTTTCATTAGTTCCGGTTAATGGGTGAACGTTCCTATAAATCACTTTACGGCAATTCCGGTATATCAAGGACTGCAAGGAGTGCGTATTCAGTTTATAGTTCGGTTTGATTTAAGTGACGTCTCGATGCTACTTATTCTCGAGATCCACTTACTAAAGCCTTACTAATAGAAATAATCAAGATCATATAAATAAGACTCTTTTGAATCTAATGATGTTCCTTTGGGTTAATTATGTTAAATTAATAGTTTTTGTGAAACATTTTCTCTAAATATATTTTATTATACTTTTAAAATTTTTGTATACATTTTATATTTTTATATTAATTTATATATAAACATTTATTTATTGTTAGTATAATAGGAAATATTTATTACATAACTATTCAAATAACATTATTAATTTAGATATTAGTTAGCGTGTGCCAAAATCAGAATAATTATAATTATCTATGACCTGGTAACGCTTGCAATTTTACGCATGAAACCACGGTCTTGGAGCAAGGTCGTTATTCCGCTGTCAAATCCAATCCAATTTCTACTCTGCTATTCGCACAGAACAATGGCGAGAAAAACATTTCTAGTTCCGGTCAATATCACATAAAATTAAAAAAAAAAAAAAACAAACAATTCTACAGACACGTAGAACGATATGTAGAACACGTGCTACGCTAATCAAAGATCAATATCTTGGTATTAGCATAATTATTGATCATGGTCATTCAAGTTGATCGAACAAATGTTAGTTTATGATTCGGACAGAAGGCGATATTATACATGTATATTGATATGTAACTTATGTATGTTGCAAGTATACTTTAATTTATTTTGATTA